TCTACTAATCGCTAAATGGCCAGACATGATCGATTCATGGGCTATTTTCATTACAATATGACGAAACTTTGATGGGACTATAAGTTGAGAATAGGTCTTACCACCGTCTTTTTCTGCTGACACATATTCCCTGTACAGAAGACCATTCTTTTCAAACCATTTGACTTTACCATCATGTGAAGTACGACCTTCCTGTGCATATCTGCGTGCTGTTTCGAGTGACGGATCTGACTGCTGTTCTCGCAATATGTCATCTGTGTTGATTTCATCTTTGACAATATCTGGCACTTTAAGTGGTTTACACTTTTTCTGTTTTTCTTTTACCTGTTGTCTTGTTTCTACCGCTGTAATAGTGTTGGGTATCCATTCTGGATCCGGATCATGAGGTTTCCTCGCATTCTCTACTTCACCTATAATCAGATCAAAGACAGGATTTTCCATACACCAACATTCATACTCACCTGATATATATGGAGAATCAATGACAACCTTTGCCACTGGGACCACTATTCTCGTGTTGTCTGCCAAAACACAAGTTTCTTGTCTACCTGTAAAGTTTTCCTCTTTTACCAAACTCTTGCGCACTACAATGTTTCGACATCCTGAATCTCTCAGTAAGGTAACTGGATGACCTTCAACGTAACCAGCTGAAAGAGGCATTGGTTTTGCTGTAGAATGACATGCCGATGTTAAAACCGTTGTATGATCACTTACCTGACTATAAATAGACGGGTTTTGACTGTAAATCAGCGCTGCGCAGTTACTTGGATTTGCATCACTACCATTTGTTTGACCTTTCCCACGTTCGTCCTTGCACACTGCTGCACTTGAGTTTTTACTTTTAAATCTGCACTGGGGTGCAATGTGACCATATTTGTTACATACAAAACATTTTCTTTCATTGTTTGGAACAAACCTTGGCTTCTGTTGCTGATGCGGACGTGCATCCTTGGGTTTTTCTGGTACCTTGCTTACCTCTGGTTTGTTCACTGCCTTCGAACACAAATTGATAGCACTAGTATTTCTAGCTTCCCTAAACTGATCAGCTAACATACTCATCTGATCCACTGTCTTTGGAACATTCTGCTTCAGAAATACAGCCAATTCAAAATTACACACATGTAACATTTGATCCCTAAGCATAAGATCGAAAAGAGCCTCAAATGAACAAGTAATTTTGGACATTTCGACCCACCGAGTCAAGTAAGAAGCAAGTCTAACAGTGAACTGAGCAAATGTTTCCCCAACTTCAGGTCTACAAGAACGAAATTTCTTTTTAAAACCATCCTCTGTCATTTCGTACCTACGTAGTAAAGCTGCTTTAAGTTGATTGTAATCACTTACTTTTGACGTTGACATGAGAGCATATACATCTAGAGCTCGCCCTTTCAATAAAGCGCTAAGGTGTGTTGACCATAAAGATTGCTCCCAATTCATGGCGGTTGCAAACCTCTCAAATCTTCTTAAATAGCTGTAAATCTCGTCTTTGTTTTCATCAAAAGGAGGAATTTTTGGTACACTAGGTTTTGCTACAACATCGTTAACCTTACCTTGTGCACTCTTATTCGCCAGTTCTAACTCATGTTCCTCTTGTAGCTGCTTCATCTTCATCTCATGATACATGCGTTCCATCTCTAGCTGATATTCTCGTTCTTCTTTTTCTCTCTGTCGAGCCGCTGCTCTCTCTTCACGCTGTAATTTCTGTTGTTCTTTAACATAATTTCTTAACTCTTCTTTTTCATAACCTAACTTCTCGTCTGCAGCGATTAAATCTTGTACCGAGTCCATTTTTACGGACATGACCTTTTTAACATAACACCTAGACCTATCTAACACCTTTGTGTAACAACTTCTATACTGCACTTGTACATGTACTACTAACGACTCTACTATACTTTGAATTCTACTTTCTATATACTGTGGTACTACATGTATAAGTACTACTACTGTCACTTCTATACTCGGAATTTTACTTCCTACTGGATTTGAAAGTTTGAGATTGGGCGACACAACTGTTAGTACTTTTGACTTATTTACCACACTACTTTTACCCTGACCAGTCTCCACGTACTCTGAGGAAGTCCACCCATCACTACTTCTAGAAACCTTCTGGACCCCAAATGACCATGGAACATTGCCTACAATAAAATTTGCAAAAGTGAGAACAATTACAGACTTCATGTACATACAGAATACAATAAGAGAACATGTATGAAATATTCACTAGATTTCAAGTCAAGTAATTCACTTTTCTAACTACTTTTATAACAAAGTCCTTTGTATGTATTGTAAAATGCTTTCAGTAGTTGTTTTCTTTTCTTACAGTTTGACAATAAATGTTTTAATTGAAATATACTGTTAAGTGAATTTCCTGTAGGATGGATTCAAGTCGTCTTGCTTAAGAACATCAGGCACTGTCGGTGACATGTAGATTTCCTCTGCGAGCTTCCATAACCGAAGTCACCACTTGTATTTGGAATCTGTTTCCAGGTTGACTGTCTATCCTGACTTCGTCCTGTGTTAACGTTGATATCCTTGGATATCCTGGGACTGAATTCCTGGGATTGTTATCCCACTTCTGACACCAATTTTGTCACAGGGTGGCTGGCAACTTCCCAAAATTACAAAGCAATGTGTATAAAATAGTTTTTATTACAGATATTTACAAACACACGCGTAGTGTAACTGTCTGAATGGCTCACAGGCTGAATGGCATGAATGGTACAGATGGCATAAGTGGCCTAAATGGGACCTATAATATAAATCAAAGTTAGATACAGACATAATATAATTAGGTGCATTTTACTGCATTACACTTTACTTAGTTGCATTTTACTGCACTGTACTTATAATTCACTTCACTTCATACTACTTTACTTCATAGAACATTTGTTCACACATAAACTAAGTGTATTACTTGTAGACAACCACTTTAAGACGAATACTATACGCCATACTTTATACATACAACACAACGTCTACATTATACATATACTCATACACTTATACTTTTACTTATAACACATATACTTTACATGAGCAAATACGCGTACTACTTTGAATCTAACTTACGAATGAAATTATAGAACAAAGTTCTGTGGCCACTTCAGGAATTAAGGGGGCCGACTATAGTTTTATTGTGTGAAAACTACAATAGCAAAACTCTTCATTTTTATACCATATATAACTTACATGAACTGCAGTGTACATGCAAAGTTTGGGGGAAATCTACCGTCTAGGTATTTTAGAGGGACCGTCTCAAAATACAGGTACATTTACTATAGGATTACGTAGGAAAATGCCAATTTTTAGCACTTTAAAGCAAATTATACTAATTCTACAATAGACATTTTGTTCAAACTATAATATTTGATGAGTAAGACTATATTATACAATATATGTAAGAAACACAAAATTATAAAGTCTTGTTACCAGAGGGGGGCATCTCAAAATGCAAAAAATTAGCAAATTTTACTATTTTTATGGAGTATTACAAAATCTGACGTACACAGTGGATTCACATGAAAACATAATAAATATATTTGAAATATTCTCAAATTTCTATGTTTTAATTTTCAAGAGAGTATGTTTATTACTATTTCTTTAATATTATTTTATTACCCCTTTCTTTAAGAGCTGCAGATTATCATAACGTCAAAAACACACTGCAACGACGTCAACCTACCTATCAATTGCAAAATCGGTTAAAAAATCAGTTATATTCAATTGTAATTACATTTTTATATCTATAATTTCTTAATTTTGTTTAATTTTAATAATTAAGTGAAAAAAGTTGCATTAAAACAGTAACTACGCTTCGTTTTACTATGATGCGCGAAATATTGCGCAATGGAAACTATAGTCGGCCCCCTTAAAACCGTCAATAAATCATACAGTTAACGATAATGAATAAAATACACTTACCCAGAATAGGTGGACCTCTGGTCATGAAATATTAAAACATTAAACAAACATAAGGTAGAAAGTTGAGCAGTCTTAGACACTTCTGCTCTCTCCAATTTCTACGCCCAATCTGATTTCACGGGATTTAAATCACCAGGTAAAACCTGCTAAACAAGCTTAAAAGTATGGTAAACATTTTGGGCTTAAATTATTAGTTAAATAGTTATCAGATAAAACATATGGAAATCAAATATGGACATCAATTGTGACACATATAACGGGGAGAATTAGTACCCATGGAAAAAGACGTTAATGATAATCTTATTTCGAGGCTTTATGATAGACGTGATGACTTTAACTTTTCTATCGTCTACATCACTTACTTATGCAGTAATATACTTTCATCACCTGCATACGGAGTTCATGTATCTCAGTTGAATCGATACGCAAGAACGGGCTCTAAGTATGAACAATTTCTAAAACGAAGTAAATTATTAACAAACAAGTTGATGAAACAAAATTATCAGCAGTCTCGTTTAATGTCATCTCTTCGTAAGTTCTATGGTCGATACAATGACCTTGTCAGCAAATACAATTTTTTATTAAGTCAAATGCTAACTGACATTTTTCATACATTATTTAGACACTGAATTGACGAAAGATTTTCTCGTTATTTCCCGATCATGACAAGGAACACACGGCGGGTGTGACTGTTCGGCAAGGGTGCTCACTCCTCCATGGCACCTGTTCCAACCTATGATGTGTTGGAGGTCCGTGTTTGCTCTTCTCCTGCATGTTTTGTATTGTTTTATGGACATTGATCTTGCATACTGTAAACGTTACGATTTTATTAAGCGATTTACCGGGGATAAACTAGTTCGCGACGATTAATTTTCGCGATTAAGCCTATTTTGATCTGTTGTGAACAGGCATTTAGAATTCAAGGTCAGCGAGAAATTTTCGCGATGACTGAGCTCTCGCGAACGCGCGAACATTTTCCGCACGTGAATAAAAGTTGTTTTACAGTAATGTTCGTTATCTACATATGTTTCATCTACAAAATTAAGTTATAAGTTGAATAATCTATGTTGTTACAGGTGATACAGAAACGAGAAGATGGCGATGGCGACTTTTACAGAACATGGGAAGAGTTCAAAAGAGGATTTGGGAACGTGTCTAAAAACTACTGGATAGGTATGCATTTCTATATTTTCTGTTACATGGATACTGTGATTTTCCTTATTCTTAGAAATACAGGGAAGAAACAAAGAATGATTAAATAAAAATTCTCTCTAAATCTCTTCATCATTCAATACTTACGTACATGTATATTTATCTGTAATTCCACTACAATTACTGCCGATTTAAAAGAAAAGTCACAATCAATATTTCCGTATAAATTTTGACTGTCATCAGAAGATAATCAGAAAACATGCAAGAGTTAATGAATATATTATTTTATAATGTAATATTTATATATGATAAATCTGGTCTTCTATGGTTTAAACACACAAAGCCTAAACAGCTACATGTAGCTTATTTTCATCGCTGAAGTTGCTTGTTCCATGGATTTCAATACAACACTGTCTCTCTTTTTTTTTACTGTAAAGAAGTTAATCGACAATCTCTCTAATTTTTTCGATATAATAAAACATAAAAAATAATCAATATATGCTGCAACCAAATTTATGATTGATTAAAGGAGATATCAATAAATTTCCCAAAACAGCGTGGTGGACTGTATTTTATTCTGCTATTGTTATCGTTTGGTGTTCCTTTTAACCGACTTAAGATAAAAAAAGGCCAATTAACAATCGAAATGTATGGCTTTTATGAATTTTCCTTATTTATGTTATAGTAAATATTTGAAATCAGGAATTTAAAGTATTTTCCTAAATCATTCAGTAAAAACATGTATTTACTGGTCGTTTTAGGAAATACAAACAATAACTAAATAGCCAGGAAATTTATGTATTTACTTATTTTAGCCAATTTTACATGTTTTACTGAAATACTGCAGTAAGATACATGATAATGCATATATGCTTTAAAAGAAATATATTTATAAAGAAAAGATTTCTTGTATTTTTTAGGGGCAGCAGAAAAATTGTTATATTTGTAAATAAAACACTTCAGGGTTTTTAATTTACCGTCAATAAACGAAAATATGCTTTGTATGAATATCCAGTAAAACAAAAATTAACAGTTACAGATTTTATTATTATTATTTTTTTTTACATTAAATTAAAAAATATATATAAAAAACTTCAAAATTAAATTTTTTCGTGATATAGACAACGTATTCCAGAAAATGAAAAAAATATCATTGTGTCTTTTTGTACATTCAAAACAATGTAAAATATTTATCCTAAATATTTATTATTAACATGATATGCTAACTGATGTAACAATTGAAAATACATTTGTAGTTTTTCTTTTTAAAATTCATATTTTAAATTATCTCACCGTAAAAAAGCCAGTAAATATGTGTAAAAAGTATTGGAAAACTCAGTAAATACCTGTATTTTTTAACTGAAAACAGCACAAAAACCTTATATTTCCTTACCAGAATAGGAATCTCATGTACGAGGGCTGTTCGGAAATTATTGAGACAATTTCATTTACTGCATAAAGGACGGAGATACTTTCATGAAAATTCATCAACATTTTATAAAGAAAGAATAAAACACTTGTGCAAAATTTCTTATTCCTATGATAATAAAAAAGTTTCGGTGAAATGATAAACATTCATATGTCTATCGACCCGGAGCAGCATCGCTACGTCATTTAACGTCACGTCCGCCGGAGATGGTTTCGGATGTAAAACGATCGGGAAGCATGTATACTTTTTCTTCTTTGTAATTACATTTTACAGTACAAAAATCAAACAGTCATTTTTCTTATATTTACATTTGCAAATGTTTTCCTTTATATAACACTACTAAAAGCAATGTGTATCTATAACTGTATAAATACAGGTACGGGGTCAAGAGGTCATAGATGTGCGTATGGATAATCGTTTGACGTAATTTCTCAGTGACGTCATAAAGGGTCGACGCGCGTTCAGAGGATTACATACATGCCGTTGGGTTTGAAAAATAACGCATTTCACACGTTAAAAGTCACAATCAGGCAAATATAAAGTATGAATAAGTCCATGAAGTCACAAATGTAAATATAAGTAATAAGGTATCATTTTAAAACATCTATCGGGCTATAAATACGGGTTGGTACGAGATTAAATTCATCATAAAGCCCTTCGGGCTTTATGGAATTTAATCTCGTGACCAACCCGTATTTATATCCCGATAGATGTTTAAAAATGATACCTTATTTCTTAAAAACTTCCTTAAAAATGTATGTTGTTGCTACCTGAGTGTAAAATTTTCATTTGTGGAAAAAGATGACTTAAAATCATGCAGTGCTGATTTGTGCAAGGCAGGTCAACGATATTAATACCGTAACGACGTTTATACCGTACGCAGTAACTGATGGTCGTCCGGAGCTTTTGATTTTACTCTGGTTGAATTTTAAAAAAATATAAATATGTATACCAATGAAATAACAAACCCTAACACATTTTTTTCTCGTTGTTATTGTTTTAGCAGGTCGTTGAGTCTGCAGAAGATTTCTAAATTGCGCTACACAAAATTTTAGGTATGTTCGCTGCTCCGCCCTTGACGTCAAAATCCATGTTTTCGTTCTTAGCAGATTTCTCTACCGCGCTTAATTTTTGCATGATCTTCATATTCCTGATCAAAATTCTAACACATTTGCACAACATGAATATGAATGACAGCTAAAAAATTATAACATAAACAGAATTATTTTTTGCTCTTATTATGGTTCCACGAAGAGTTAGAATGTTGGTGTTAAATATTTTCAATATCTGATTTCGGGACTGCTCCGGGTACCCCTACTAATGACGCATTTATATACCATTGTACAGAAAATATTTAATATTTGTAAAATATTTTTGCCTATATCAATTCTTAGTGTTTGTCAAATGTATATGCAAATTTTCACCGAAAGACGTTCATTAGAAAGCAAAATATACACAGTGTCTCAATAATTTTCGAACAGCCCTCGTATTTACTAAAAATTCAGGAAATACATACACGTTTGCTGTAACATGTATATAGCAATATTCTGCTATTAGCTGCATATGGTGATTTTGTCTCCAAACTTATTTTCTACTCAAGAACATGCTATGAGTACGTGCAGTTTCTAAAACCATAAGGCGGTGAAGTGCTTCAGGTTTTGACCTTTACTTGGTACCTACGGCCATTGAGCAGTGAGGGGTCTTCATCTTGCCGTGCCACGGTACCTCGGTTTTGTAGGTCTCATGCGATGGACCCACAATTCAATTCAAAGTTCGCGCGTATGGCGAAGGAACAGTTGCCACCGACTTTGATGAAACATTTCATAATGTAAAGCACACCAAAATACGCAATTTTTATATTTCAAAGTTTTTTGTAAAGCAAGAAAAATTGCTCAATTCTAGAGGTTTCTTTAAATATATATGTAAAAAATAAAGGACAGATTTTTTTTACATCTCATACAAAGGGAACGATGCAATCCATACGTTAACAAAGGATAAAAACCAAGAACTTCGTGTGGACCTCCAAAGTCATGATGGAGAAGAGGCCCATGCTGTGTATACCACATTTTACATCGAGGATGAAGGCAATAAATATACCCTGACAGTATCTGGATACAGCGGAACAGCGGGTGAGTAGATTATCAATATTTTGTTTGATGAAAACATTAAATTTTCTAGGTCTGTGTCTAATATATCGTGGATGGTATTAAATGCTATTGTTTGCATTTAGGACAGACTAAATATAATGTATTAAATAAAATAGCCGCCGAATCCGTAAAAACAGAACAACCTCATATTTCTATAGTCCGTCACTAGCACACCTAATAAGGGATTAATTTTTGGAGAATTGTATGGAATCCGGATAGGGCCATGCAGTTCACTATCGCACCATCAAGCATCGACTAATAGGTCGATGGCGCAATAATGCGATAGCGCGATGACGATGTTGAAATGATGCGATAATGCAAGGACGATGGTGCGATAGAACTTTAGAGTCAAAGTGAATATCGCTTCATCGTCATTGTACCATCGCGCCATTGTCATCGCACCATCGCGTCATCGCATTATCGCTCCATTGTGCTATTGCATTATCGTCATTGCATTGTCTGGCCATCGCTTCATCGTCATCGTGCTATCGCACCATCGCTTCATCGTCATTGCATTATCGTGTCATCACATTATCGATTCAAACCTTGATGGTTCGATGATGCGATAATTAACTGCGTGGCCCTATCTGGATTCCACAGAAAAGAGTAAAAGACTTACACACAAGACAGCCCAGTAGCAAAATTTATCAAAAATGGGGTATGAAATGACATGCACGAAAAAAACCAATAAAGACTTCAGTGTAAAAACACATAGGGACTAGAATTTTCCCTAGCTTGTTAAGGCAAAAACATTGCACACTTTAAACCCTATTGCAACAAAAAGTGTTTCAAAGTGTGTGTTGTGAGAGAGAGGTACACAACGTTTGAATTTTCATACTTTAGTTTACAGTAAAACACTATTCTAGAAACATTTGGAGCTCCTCATTCCTCTTCCTGACCCAAGCCTCTTTCCTTACTCCTCACTAAGATATTTAAAGTAGTGAAAGATATTTATAGGCTCTAAGAATGTTGCCCGATCTATTCAGTATTTACTGAATAAATATTGTTTTAACCACAAATTATCGAGTATATCTGGTTTGGGTCAGTTTACGCTTTCGCGGATTATAAAATTGATAATCGATAATTTGGCCAAAAATAAGAGTCATTCATTATAATTTAATTTTTAAATAATTAAACAACTGTCGGTGTAAAATAAAGAGTAGTGAAGGAAAAACTTCAAGAGTACTGTGCAATAATATATTCAAGAAGTGATGTAAATCAAATGTGGATACTTAAATATTTCAAGGAACTTTTGGACAATTTGAAATCAAAAGATATTACCAAGATCAACAGCTTTAAAACATACGACTTTTCAACTTTATACACAACCATTCCCCACGGTTAAGTAGAGTCCAGGCCTTTCGATATCATTGACAGCTGCATTTTCGATAAAAATGGAACTCGTAAATTGACTTACCTTATCATTGGTCATTTGCCAAATTCTGATTGTACATACCAGGACTTTGAAGTCGAAATCAAAAAAGATGTTTGAGTTTCTAATTGGCAATATCTATCTGGGTTTTAGAGACCAGGTCTTCCAACAATGTATTATGATTCCCATGTGTACCAATTGCACTTCGTTTTTATCTGATCTGTTTTTGTATTCATATGAAGCAGAATTTACGCAGAATCATATGAATGAAAAGAAGAAAACACTTCCCGTAACCTTCAACTCGACGTTTCGATATATCGATGACATATTGTCAATTAACAATGGTCTTTTCCATTCCTATGTCGATACGATTTATCCTTGTGAGCTTGGGATAAAAGATAAATTGTTAATAGACAATACGTGGTCGATATATCTAAATGTTTGGTTGCAAGCCACAGCAAGCGTTTTCGTTTTTCACACATAACATATTGCACAAATTCTGCTTTATATGAATGCAGGAATAGGTCTGCTTATAACTGCGCAATTGGTATCTATAGGTATTCCAACATATTGAAGGAATACCTGGTCTCCAAAGAGGACATAGATATTGTCAATCAGAAACTCGAGTATCTTTAAATTTTTATGTTGACTTTAGAGTCCTTGTATGTACAACGAGAATGTATTTTAACAAAGTAATTTTACAAACGACCAATGACAAGGTAAATAAAATAAAAAAGGTCACTTATCGTATTTATAAAACATTATTGAATGCGATTTCTTTAAAATTTATACCCTAAATCCAAATTTGTAAACTCAACGTTAACACTTGGCCATACTCTCAAATATTATTAGGGTCTTCCGTCTTCAGCGGAAGACCCTTCTATTATTCTTCGGTTTCTTTTTTACCTTTATTAGGGTCTTCCGTCTCCAACGGAAGACCCTTCTATTATTGTAATGTTTCTTTTTCTTATTATTATTTTTTTTCCTACACTGATATCTCAGTAACGGTACAGTGGATCTATATGAAACTTTCGGTGATGAAAGGAAACATTTATGGCTCAATCCAATACCTTCACTTTTTTTAATTTTACTTCCGGTCGTGAAATATGACGTAATTTCTACAATTTTTGTCCGTCCTTCATTGAGAATACTACGCAAAATAGAGATTTGAAATTTTCAGGTATGATTAAATGTGAACTCTACATTTGTAACAGGCTTTTAAATTTTTAAGAAGTTTTTTAAATTTTTCAAATTTTTAATTTAAATTTTTCAAAAAAATTTTTTTAATCCAATTTCAATTTTTTTTATATCATCAAATAGATCTTGGCTAGCACTTTCCAAAAATGTATTTGTTTTGTATGTGAGTACAAAAATGAACATTTTATAAGCTCAGGTGTGTTTTGACATTAGAGTGCAAATGTACTTTTAGAACTTTTCTTTTAAAAATTCATATCTTTTTTATTTATTGACCGATTTCTAATTTTTTTACACCATCAAATACATCTTTTCAAGACCTTTCCAACGGTATATATCTTTTTATTGTACGTGTAATAATGAAGAAAATATAAGCTCAGGTAAGTTAGCCTTTCATTTTGACAGGACATGTCAAATTCATTATCAAGGATCCTTGCGGTTAGACGGTACTCTTTAGATCTCTTTGATCTTTGGTGGAAATCCTTTGATGTATGTAAAACGTCATATCTCGCTCATTTCTTGACCGATTTTAAAAACTTTTAAACCATCAAATAGATCTTTTCAAGACCTTTCCAACGGTATATATCTTGTGATTTTTAATGCACTAATTAAGAAACAATTACCTCAGGTATATTAGCATGCTGTTTTGACAGAACATGTCAAACTCATTGTGAAGGACGCTTGCGGTTGGTGAGAATGACTGTACTTTATGATCTTTAGCTTGTGTCCTCTGATATACACAAAAATTATTTCACAGTGTAATAGGAAATTCTCAAAGGTCAAATATAATGAAATTGAAACAATTTAAATTTTTTAATTTTGTTTTAAATTGCTTTCTAAGGTAAAATAAGAACTATTATTGCATATTTAAGGATTGAAAACATAAGACCACATAATTGAAAGGTCAAAAATTGTGACTTTTAATCAATTAAATTTTTTCAAAATATTGAAATGGTTCCTAAATGATACATCTGCATTTTAAAAGATCGATAACAACATATGGTGATTTTTGAAATTTTTCAAATGACAAATAGAATGCAATTTAAATGGTTTAAAATTTTCAAAAATTTGAATTGCTCCCAAATGTCGAATACTTCATTTGTATTTTGACGGATATAGAAGATCATACAACGTGTTTTGAAATATTTCAAAGGTCTAATAGAGTGAGTTTTAAACAATTTAAAAATTTCAAAAAAATTAAATTGCTTCTAAATGTAAAACCAAGTATTATATATGTATTGTGACAAATAGATAACAGCATACAATGTGTTTTGAAACATCTCAGAGGTCAAATAAAGTGTGATTTAAACGATTTAAATTTTTCAAAAAATTTAAATTGATTCTAAATGTATAATCAAGTACTATATTTGTATTGAGACAGATGGAGAACATCAGAAAATGTGTTTTGAAATCTCTCAAAGGTCAAATTGAGTGAGATTTAATCGATTTAAATTTTTCAAAAAATTTAAATCGCTTCCAAATGTAAAATTAAATACTATATCTGTGTTACGACAGAGGGAGATCAATTTACAATGTGTTTTGAAATTTCTCAGAGGCCGAATAAAGCTAGATTTAAACGATTTAAATTTTTCAAAAAATTTAAATTTCATCCAAATGAAAATTCAAAGATGAAATTTGTATTTTGACAGATGGAGAACACCAAACAATGTGTTTTGAAATCTCTCAAAGGTCAAATTGAATGAGATTTAAACGATTTAAATTTTTTGAAAAATTTAAATTGCTTACAAATGTAACAAAATGTACACAAGTGTATTTTGGCAGATAGACAACATCAGACAATGTGTTTTGAAATCTGATATAGCGCTTGATATTACATTTAGAAGCAATTTAAATTTTTTGAAAAATTTAAATCGTTTAAATCTCACTCTATTTGATCTCTGAGAGGTTTCAAAACACATTGTATGATGTTCTCTATCTGTCGCAATACATATATATTACTTGATTTTACATTTGGAAGCAATTTAAATTTTTTGAAAAATTTAAATCGTTTAAATCTCACTCTCTTTGACCTCTGGGAAGTTTCTAAACACATTGTATGATGTTCTCTATCTGTTGCAATACATATATAGTACTTGATTTTACATTTGAAAGCAATTTAAATTTTTCAAAAAATTTAAATTGTTTAAATCTTACTTAATTTGACCTCTGAGAGGTTTCAAAACACATTGTATGATGTTCTCTATCTGTTGCAATCCATATATAGTACTTGATTTTACATTTGGAAGCAATTTAAATTTTTTGAAAAATTTAAATCGTTTAAATCCTACTTAATTTGACCTCTGAGAGGTTTCAAAACACATTGTATGTTGTTTTCTATCTGTCACAATACATATATAGTACTTGATTTTACATATGGAAGCAATTTAAATTTTTTGAAAAATTTAAATCGTTTAAA